TACATCTACTATTTCTAGTACGTGAGTCATTAGTGATACCAGGCATATACATTATATTACATTACTGCATCATTCAATAGATAGCGTAACTAGACTAAATATACAGTGAGGTGAATCTTATCGCGAGCGCATATATCTGTGTGCTGCATGACGTATAAAAGTTTAACCTTGTATTAGTAATTACCGTATCGTTGGCTCTGGTATTCTTCCGTTACACACTGAACCGTATATACACAACACTCGACCGTCGTAACTCAGAAAGCCTACTGCCTGCGTGCACAGCTTTGCACCTGAACCCACCCAAAATCAAAACCAAAACCAAAACCGTCCGGACTAATATACGCGAGCCATACGCTAAAAGACGTCATACGGGAAGTAATTGTTGGTTGGCCGCTACAATATACTTATACTAATTTATACTATTGTAAAGCTCGCTACCGTAGCAAACTGAGATAAACCGGATCTAATCGTAGATTTCGGTGCAAGTAAACTTTCCCACGGGTAATTATGGCGGCCGCCGATTCCGAACCCCCAACGGCCACCGCTCCTATTGAGCACATTGAGAACAGCCGTTAACTCCCCCCCAACCCTACCCCCACCAACACTACCACCACGTACCATGCTACGGGCCGTAGGAACGTGTACTAACTCTAATATCTCGCGAATGAATTGAGTTACATTTCTAAAATTCTAGATACATATAAACACATGTCTTAACTATAAGGACCGTCAATTTTGTTGCTTCAAGTTTATTGAAGCACGAATAGTCTAATTAATTACCCAAAATATACGCGCGGTATCGCTCATAGGCTAATGTATGTGCGTGGCTATATGGCCCGTAGGAAAGTGTACTAACTCTAATATCTCGCGAACTTACATTTCTAAAATTCTAGATCCATATAAACACATGTCTTAGCTATGGTCTCTGTGAATTTTGCGTATATTAAAAAACGAATAGTTTAATTAATTCCCAAAAATATACTCGCGGTATCGCTCATTGGCTAATATACGCACGGCTATATATGGACGGTAGAAAAGTATACGAACTATCATGTGGCGCGAACTATTTAAGTTACATTTCTAAAATTCTAGATACATATTGTAATATTTTAATAGCAGAAGAGCGCCATTAGGAAAGCATAACAGAATTTATTCGCATCTGACTGGTTGATATTACATTAGAGTTATCCGGATACTTAATTATGACGTATATAGTGCATATATGACATCTCCCTTTTTTCTTTTCTTTTTTTAAAAGGCAGTTGAATAGAACAATTGAACTCGAGCAGCAAAACTATTCAGTAATAAACTTGACTGGCAAATTATCAATTAGATATGGAATTATCAATTATAATCAAGTACCCAATATTTTACCAACATCTAATTGTACCATGTATAACTATGTTTGCAAGACTGAATTGTTGAGAACAATAAAATTCTGGTTTGGATCAAAATGCAATTTGAAATCATTCAACTTTTAACACTAACAGACAAACTCTGCAGCTGGGCTAGAGGTTGCTAGCACATGCATAGCCCACTGTTCGAACTGGTCTTTACCACCAGTTCAATCACACAAAACAGAATCACGATTTGACGTAGTCTCTGTAATGACTTGGTTCCCTGATGATTCTCCCAGAACGAGTAGTGTAGGTGCTCTGCAGTGCCTATACCTATAGTATAAATATATACCCAGTAAACATTCCCACATGAGGCCCATATGCGGCCCATATGTCGATGAATATGGGCTCATATGGGCTGCCCATATGGGGCCCATAGACAGCTGCACCCAATATGCACATGGGTCCCATGTGGGCAGCCCATGTGGTGAAAATATGGGTCCCATGTGGGCTTCCTCTGGGCTATAATAGTATCTGGGTAGAATACGAGCCAGCTCATGTGGGGAAAATATGGTGCCATGTGGGCCCCATCTGGGCTTATACTATCTGGGTAGAATACGAGGAAACCCATGTGGGGAAAATATGGGTCCCATGTGGGTCCCATCTGGGCTTATACTATCTGGGTAGAATACGATCCAGCCCATGTGGGTCCTATCTGGGGAGAATACGATCCAGCCCATGTGGGGAAAATATGGGGCCCATCTGGGTGCACATGGACTATCTGGCCAGAATGTTGGTTCACCAAAGCTAAATAATCTGAAGCAAGTTGTTAATGAATACTGTTGTTCTGTTTAATTATTCATAAAAATGTATAACAAAAATTAAACAAAAAATAATCCATACATTCGTTTACAAAACGTACAATCGGTTGATTTACAATCTCATTTGAATTACCCTCGAAATCAATTACTGCTCAACAGCTCCCGTCTTCAATAACCGGGCAAATTATTGGACAAGAAAATAGAGCAGTTATGCATGACCCGCCGTCCGACTGATGAGAGCTAAAAACTCATGATACAGTTTTTCATTTTTTCTCAACTCTTCTATTTGGAACTTGGGTCAGGCAATCAGATCAGGCAATACTCCATCCATTGCACATAGTCATGTCAATTCAAACTGAATATTAACAGATAATCATTGCATGAGGACTTTTATTCTTTTACATTTTTTTACATGGAAAGTAGGTTAGACATGCCCTATCTATGATTTATTATCTAATTGTCTTGATGTGCAAACCTCCAAGCAAAAAAAAAACCAAGAGCATCAATAGTGCTGTACAGTAGTTTTTAAAGTTGATTCTTTTTGTTTTGCATAATATATTGTTGGTTAAAGGGGTGGACACACTAGCCGATTTTTCGTGCGGTCGAGCCGGGCAACTCAGCCGGCCGGCGAGACCGCATGAAAAATCGGCTAGTGTGTCCAGTCTCCCGGTCGCAGTCGCGGTCGATTTTCGAGCCGGCCGTATCAAACATGTTTGATAATTATTTGCCGGCCGGCTGCAATCGCCTAGTGTGCTTGGGTCTGTGACATAGTAGGCCGATTGTACAATTTATCAGCCAATCAAATCACAATTAGTTGTCACATGATCCACAGAGTCGCCCGGCTCAGCCGTATAGTGTGTCCGCAGAGCTCGATCCAGACTCAGCCGGCCGGCTAAATCGCCGACCTGCTCAACCGCATGCAAAATCGGCTAGTGTGTTCACCCCTTAACACAAGGTGTACTCATGGCACCAAAATCCCTCAAAGCATAAGAAATGTAGAATTAACGATCTCGCGTAATAGATTGGTAGATTGATACGGGCTGAAGTAATAATTTGACATTAATTTATAGTCTTACTTCATTTATTTACAAAAATAATTTTCCTACTGAGTTACGTGCAAGACAGAGACTTTGACGTAAGGTCTCGAGATAGACTCGCCGTCTGTGTCAATCTATATAGGGTTAGACTGCAGGGGTGTGTGACATTGACAATGAGTTTGCTGTAAACACTGGGTTAATTTCCTAACAACAACTACTACTACTATACTACTACTACTAATAATAATAATAAGACGGACTTCCACCAACACGAATAACAATTTAAAAAATACAAAATTCCCTCCCGCAAAATGAAATATCCTCACAAAAAACGAATTGTGTATGTGTGTTTATGTGCGTGTATTTGACTGTGTATCGTTTTTACTCAATCGCGATGAGACAAACGGCGCGACGGGTAATTATTCTAGTCCTCACAATTCGTCATCAGCCTGATCACCATTAATACGATTTTCCTAAATGTCCAGATTGTCCTCTGCCATAGCTCGTCGATTTGGTACACCCTTTGCTTTTAGTCCTCCATTTCTGTCCCTCGAATTGTACAGAAAATTTGTAATGGCCTCCTTGACATCCTCCCTGGTGGCATCTTTAGTTTTTGGATTGTGCCGTACTGCCCCTGTAAAAGCAAGTAGGGCTGTGTTAAATTATGCCACAACGCTAGCCCTCCAAGCACTAATTAAATTCCTTTGCAGCTAACGCCCACAAAATGTAGAAGACCATACATTCCCAACTCAAGCTAAATGTGAACTTTTCTCATTTTCTGGGTAACAATAAATACAACTGAAAATTGGCAGGTGTGAATACATACAGACATATGAGATGATCCTTGTGAAGCATGGCTGTTTTAAGGCACTCGTTTAATAATAAAATTGTGTCATGAAACAAATTAAAGGCCATTCATGCCACGTTTGACAACTGGATTAAATACATGCATGCCATAATTAAATCCTGTCCAATTTTTTGGAAATTCCATGTTGATATTTTCAAGATATAGGACTTTTCCAAGTGAGGGATATTTTATGTGTAAGTCTATGGAGATCTCGCCGTTGGGGGTGCTATAACCAGTTTTTCATAAACTTCACAGGCTTCTTATTCACATTTGTTGCCACAAAACGTTTTAATTTTTGCGCAGATTGTTGTTATATCATCGTATACAAATTACTCTTCAGAAGTGGTGTGTACGTGTTTAAATTCTCGCAAGAAATAAATGAGAACAATTATACAGAGGTGAAGCAGCCGTGAAAAGGGCTGTACAGCTTCAACAGTCAACAAGCATTGATTGTGATAAACCACACACATACTTACTCAGGATAACTTAAACTAAATAGAGTTTCTGGAACACTTCTTTGCCCTTAGCACCAGTCCAATTGTATCGACGAGCCAATTCTGGAGTCATGACGGTACTCATTGTAGCTTAATTTTGTTGTACTGGCAATGTCCTTACCACCACCGAGCACAGCAAGCTTTTGCACCTAAATATAAAATAAAATAAGCTTTTAATTGTACTGGATTGAGTTCAAAGCAAGGGGATGTCGAGGTACTTCCACTTGCAGACCACTTTGCAAGTATACAGTTACTGGTAGTCGGGGATCATAAATATATTGTATGTACGCTTTTTTAAAGCGATGAAATAGTGGCTACCTAATGAATCCACATCAAGTTGGCCATTCATTCCACAGTACAGAGACATGCATCAGAAATAGCTTAACTTAGAGTGTCTCAGGTGAACTATATGTATTGTTATTCAACAACAGTGTTTGATTTCAATTGAGAAGTTTGTTAAAATGTCATTGATCTTTGGGTGTGTAGGGTTCCATCTAAAGCAGAACAGCAAATTTCAGCATGCTACCTAGGACACGTTTATGGCACTGTACTTTGACTTTCTGACTCAACATATTGGTTTTAGCATGCCCAATACTGACCAGTATCCAGTGAAGTCCAGTGTCAAGTGCAATCTCTGCTTTACTATTAAATCATCCATCTTATTTCCATGGTATTTTCCACATTACGTACCAATTTCTTTGTCAAAACTTGGTCTTTCAGGGATGTCTCCAATGTTTGAACATCTTCAAGTGTCAACAAGGGCAATGCTACTGGCAGATCAATATCTACATCTAATGGGGTGTCCTTGTTCTGCCCTGCAACAGACAACTCCATCAAAAGTGACGAGTTGTAGTCAACTTGTTTCCTCAGTTCTTTTCCCTCCAGTGACAACTCTGTCAGCAATTTCAAAACTGTTTTTTCAAAACCTAGTAAAAGAAAGATGTTTTCATATTACATGTATATGAAGTCAGATCTATAGGTCCCATGATTTATCCATGTCTGGTGCTGGTAACTTCTTCAGTGTAAGCTCTTAGAGCGAATATGCGTGCCACTTCAGTTACATGTATGTGCCAGTTGGGTTTATTGGCCAGATGACTCCGCCTTCTGCATGAGCAAAGTGAGGCAAAGAGACCTTCCCAGAGTCACACGTCATTGCTGAATTCAAACCCAAGCCACACCCCCGGGTGCCTTAGGTGTTGGTAACAATTGTTATAGTAAAGTCTGCAATCTTCACACTGGGACCTGCATTTATTACACCGTCGTCCGTTGTGTCCAACTGCCCTTCATAAATTTCTTGATGTGTACATACATTATAAATTTGGGCACTGTTGGACAAACCAAGTAATGATCTAAACTACATTACACTGTAACAGGTCCGGTAACCAATTGTTTTTGTTGTGCGAGTATTGACTGACCACAGTGCTGGTTAGGTGAGTTGCAATGAAGCTGTTTAGCCATTTATCTCCCAGACAACCTAAAACTACTTCAGGGTTCTGCCCAGTAATTTTTTTGTAATTCTATAGTTTTTAACCAAAACTGGAACAGTCTGCCACACACTTACGCTCAAATGTCGTATGACTAGGAAAACATGAAATTGAACAAACTGTTCCAAGTGTGGTTGAAAGTACAACAGAATTACTCTGCAGAACCGTTTCTTGGTCTAGGAGATCAAGGGTTAAAGAATAATCGAATCACATGTCATGAAGCCGTACCTGTATTGCTACCTCGAGGTGAGACAAGATGTTCTACAGATGGACTTCTTTCAACTAGGCTCAAATTTGGAGTTGAACATCTCCTGGCACTAGAGGTAGTCGAAGTAGTCATGGTAGTCAATGAACCTTCACCAGTCGAGCAACGTACATGAGTGGCGGGCATTTGGTTCTCCTCGTCCATGGACATGCTATCTTCTTCATCAAAACGAGATGGAGGACTAAAGAAAAAAAAATATTTTAGCACATTAATAACATGCCTGCACCACCATCATTAGTATGTTGTGCCTCAAAGAAAATGCACAGGACCAAGGATTTGTGCACTCTTTTACTGTTGTAGACTTATTCCGTAGAATGTTTCCATTGTATTTTTATTCACATGAAATCAAACATTTTTAGGTTTTACTTCACACAGAACTTGGACTTAATTGGTCCAGCAACTTTCATCTAAGTTACACAACATCCGACTGGTATGCTAGTAGAATATTATCAGATCTATGTACAACTCGGGATAGTATCCAACTTATGGGATGCCCTATAGTTTTACTTAAATAATGAGACCTTGGCACTCTATCCACCAATATGGTCGAGTATCCAGCTTCAGCGATGTCCGAGTTAGACAGGTTTAATTATTATCAAACTTACCGAGATTGCCGTTTTGCCATCCTCGGACTTCTGTCCTCTTCTTCCGTGTCGATGCAGGAAGTTTCCTGGGACTTGATCTCCTTCTCTAGTACTCTATTCCAATCATCTGAAAACAAGTAGATTAGTAAATTACGCGGTGCATAATTGATGTTCTCGCCGAATTTCGCAATCTACAAATGTTGAGTCAGGGGTGTTGACCTGTGGGGTCGAGACTACAAAAATGCACATCTAGGGAGCATGGGTCATCGCTCTACAAAGTACAGGCCCAGAGGCTACTGTAGTTCCTGCCTTTAAAAGTTATGCAAATCACCTTGTAGCGGCCAACCAACAATTACTTCCCAAATGACGTCTTTTAGCGTATGGCTCGCGTATGATAGTCCGGAGGTTTTGGTTTTGGTTTTGGTTTTGGGGTGGGTTCGAGTGCAAAGCAGTGAACGCAGGCAGTAGGCTTTGTGAGTTACGACGGTCGAGTGGTGTGTATACCGTTTAGTGTGTAACGGAAGAATACCAGAGTCAACGATACGGTAATTACTAATACAAGGTCTAACTTTTATACGTCATGCAGCGCACAAATATATGCGCTCGCGATTAGATTCACCTCACTGTATATTTAGTCTAGTTACGCTATGTATTGTACGATGCAGTAATGTAATATAATGTATATACATATGGGATCACTAATGACTCACGTAATAGAAAAAGTAAATGTATTGTACCGCGAACAAGTATCAACAGACATGATGTTTAAGAGGGAATTAGCCACAGGAGTTTATTTTGTTTATTTTCTTTTGTATTATAGTCAATCTTTTGTCTATGATCATCGTCGAAGTTTGTCGATGATAGAATAAATGATGAACGGATGAATTGGTGTTAAAGACTGCTAGCTGTTGGTATAAGCGTTACACACCTCATTAATATGCAGTGACCCCAGACAGACCTGACCATGGTGTATCATTTACCAAGCTCCCACTAAGTTGATTGGTGACTGCTTTCAAGAGGGAGACGGACTTAAACAAGGTGAACACTTTGGTTAACATTTTTATGACAGAAACACATACATACAACCATACATACATAGAGCCGGCATTTAATAGTCCCCTTTCCGAATTCATCGGCAGGGACAAAAAACTACAAGTAGTCCAAGCCAAATTGTCTGCAGTCAGACTTTTGTAATTGTAAGGGGGAGGTGTAAGTAATGGTAGCTGTAGCACAAGTTGTAACATGTTTTTTTTAATGTATGCATGTCTTTTTCCCACCGATGCGTAAAGTTAGTTTACCACATACTGCAAGTCCTAAATTTGCATGCGAAAGCTAAAATGGTCTGCAAGACTCCACTTTAACTGCTGCAAGCATGAATAAAAGTGCTGGAAAATCTTTCTTCTAGATTATTAAATTCTATTAATTATAGTATACTTTTTTGGACACATTCTTTTACATTTCGTGACACAACCGTGCATGAAAAAATATAAAAGTTGACAATGACTCACCAGAGGAAGCAAGAAGCCTCACATCATGTATTGTCCACTCCTTCTGGTCAACTGGGGCATGTTCCTTGGCCATTCTCCTTATGCGGCTAGAAGTTCGACCATCTGGCCAGTAGCAAGTAAACCCTTGGTTTTTCTGATTGGGTGAACGCAACCAGCTGTAGGAAACCACGGCGACACCATCGTCAAATTCCACCACATAATATTTCTTGTCTTTTCTTGTAGTGTTTGTTGGTCTGCAAATTGAGCAATGTTATTTGTGAGAGATCATCAGTAATTTACTCAACCATGATTTGACATTTATTGCAAGCCATGTGTGTAAACCTAGGTTTCTGCAGCAAAAAGCCTGGGTTTCTGAGCAAAAACCTAGGTTTACCGATTAATTACACACTGGCTTGCCATTGGTATTTGGCATGATATTTTTATGGTAAAGTGCAGTGTCAACTAAATCAATACAAAATGTCAAGGTAGTGTCAGTCGCAGTAAAGGGTTGAAATGCCAATAAACCATAAAAGCCACACTTTATTTTATAGATTACGGCTATACTTCTAGAAAAAATCTGAGGTCAGGAGGCAAAAAATTGTTGAAAAATTTACAATTTTTTTTAAAAACAAATAATGAAGGCATTAAAATCATTTACCGGTGATTATCTCTGGTAACACTTCACATGTCCTGGCAATCATGGGTTAGTGTAATAATAGAGCAGCAACTTGCAATTTGGTGTCATCACCTGTATCGTCTATGCACAGCAGAACATACTTCTTGGTGATTTCAGACACCTGCGCCACAGAATATCCCTTGTTAAACCTTGAAACTTTGTAAACACCAACGAGAGTGGAATCTAGTGGATACATATAGAAAGGTTCCACAGAACGAAATTTCTTGTAAACTATACAATCTCCTCCTTTTCCTCGAAAAAAGTTTCTTGCCAGACCAAGACAGTCTTTTACCATAATACAATTGTCACCAGCCTTTGTTTAAAGAACATAGTCATGCCCTGGAACATGGTACTCCTGGAACTGCATGGTAAGGTGAACATTATTGGGCAAGGGTCCACTGACACGCTGCTTTTGCAAGGCAATCATGCCCACTGACAACAAAGAGAGGCTGCACAATGTACTGGGAATTTCGCTCCAACAATCTCTTCACGACTTGCTGAAGTGGCTGCCGAGATGCCCGTACAATTCGTTTCAGCTTTCCCAGAAAACTTTCAAATACAAAAGCCGACACATGATCTGGACATTCTAGTGGACCATACCGTCGCACAACATCTGCTAAATGCATCAAGCCATGCACATTATAGGAAATGCAGTGTTCTCCATACAACTCGCCAAAATGGGGAATGAACAATCGGAGTAAATCTTTAGAATAATCCACATACTCTGAGCACAATGATGGATTTAAAAGAATACCGACTCCAATAGACAGAAGAAGGAAGTTCTGATACATGGCATTGGGCAGTATCTCCTTTAAAACAACAGGGCCAGTATAGATAAGGAACTGCCTCAATTCAGTTGCCTTTCATTGATCAAACTCATCCAGACCTTGGCTTCCTAGCAAATTCTCCTGGCAATGGATTTTTCAAGGAAAGCAGACTTTTGGAAATCTCATTGATGCTCTGTTTACCAAGCTTCGTTTCCAAGGGACCTTTCAGCCACATTGTGAGCAGTTTCTTCATGACCCCAAGACACACCAAATGCATGTAATCTAATGGGAACTTTGTGACCATTCCAATTCCAAGGGTAGCTAGTGGTGATGGCCCGTTGTGATGTTCCTCGTCTTCCATAGCAGTGAAAGATGCATCTGTACGTTTTGAAGCATTAAGTTCGGGGAATGTCATTCTCCTCTCAATATATAACCCACGCTGAGTACAATTGTCACATCCCGCATACCCATTGTGACCTTTAACATTCTTCACAAATGCACGTGCTGGGGTATCACACACAAATGCTGATATCTCAAAGCTGTAGTGCAGATCATTGACCTTCCTTCTGCAGCAAAGTCACTTCTGTCTCTCCTGAAATATTCAGTCACAGAGTTTGGTTTCGACTTGCCAACGAATAATCCAATGATAAATGGCTTCTTCAGTTCCAAACCCTCAAGAAGTCCCAAAATAGGCCAAAATTGAAGATTTGAACTCTTGAACAAAGGCAAGCCATCTACATTTATCTGCACTCTTAAAGTTCTAACATCTGTCTGCAGTTTGTATTTCTGCAAGGACTCTTTCAGACCACTTACAAGTCCAAAATGATAGTAAGAGCCACCGGCTTGGTCAGTAACCACAACCTCAGATACAGTCTTGAGTAAAGTCCGTGGATCCTTTGGGAGGTTAGGATGTTCAACTTCGAGTACCTCCAGTAAATCTCTAAGAGCTGAATGAGTTATCCTGTGTTTTACAGCCCAGTGAGCTAATCCATCAGCCAGTTGTGGGGTCTCATCTTCACTATCACAGGCAGTGACACTGGACCATGCAGGCTCCGAACTATCTGCATCCGAAATAGCATCCAGGCCTGCTGTTGGTACTGGTACATCTACTTCGGAAAATTCAGATTCTGAAGTGGATGCATTTGCTTCTGGTCCACTGTCACCTTCCCCATTTCCACCAACAGACTCATCCCCATGGTCTTCTAGACTCGAATGTCCTAGCCTACCAGGTGTGCGTACAACTAGACGATCACCTTCATTTAAGTCATTGATGTCCTCTAAATGGGCCTGCACCTGCGAAACAATTCTACGCCTTTTAGTCCACCTTGACATGTTACACTGTACTTTCAAGTCATACGTATAAAGCTGATGTTACCTCATACTCCAATAGCTGCAGTCCTCCGCCATCATAATTAATGAAGACCTGGAAAATAATCATAAAAGTACNATGGTCTTCTAGACTCGAATGTCCTAGCCTACCAGGTGTGCGTACAACTAGACGATCACCTTCATTTAAGTCATTGATGTCCTCTAAATGGGCCTGCACCTGCGAAACAATTCTACGCCTTTTAGTCCACCTTGACATGTTACACTGTACTTTCAAGTCATACGTATAAAGCTGATGTTACCTCATACTCCAATAGCTGCAGTCCTCCGCCATCATAAGTAATGAAGACCTGGAAAATAATCATAAAAGTATGTGATACTGTGTGTAAAGAGAATTTTGCATTTTATTTGCAATAAGTTTCTTTAAATGAAAATATGTGTATTGGTACATGACATAGTTGTTAAAAATCTCCCTATAACATACACGAGATCTGAGTTTGGGCAAATATGATGTTCTCTTACTGTTTTTTTTACATCTTATCTGGGTTAAATTAGGTGGTTAAATACATTATAATTATTATTATTAATTATTATTATTATTATTATGGTTAAATAATTGGGTTAAATACATTAAAGGGATAGTAGACTTTACATTAAAGAGAGACTCTACGGATTTACTGCATATAACGTATTTACCGTATACAAATCGTCTATACCAACACGGATTTTTACCAGAACCTAATTTGATTGTTACAATTAATTACACATCAACCGCTTAGCAACAATATTGAACGGCGCCATGGACACCCGGCCGGACTGCTGCTCTGCCACCCTGAAAAGAGTTGCGGAATTTGCCAATTTATTTGCACGTTACAGACCGACGGCTAATCACAATAAGTGTGCTTGCAATATTATTCAACGACCGCCCTAAATGCTATTTTAGCCCCCCGGAACAGATGTTCATTTAGGACAAATTTATCATAATATAACAGAAACTATATGTTTCGTTTAATAACTATAACTTATATAATAAGTATGATTACAATCCTTTGCTTTTAAATAATAAATAAGAAACACCCTCGGTCGTAGCCTGCTGGAAATGAGTTGGTTTGCCAAACTTAGGCAGAATCGTGTGCTTTGAAGTGGCGCCACCGTCAGTTGTAAATCAAAACTGCTAGTCGTTTTAGTTTAAAACATTTTATAGATTTTCTAAATTTGTGAGAACATGCCACTTTTAGATTTTGTAGCTCCCTCGAGCGTGATTTTAACCTAAATTAAATGAAAATAACCCCTAGAACCTAGAGTGAACTATCCCTTTTAACATTAATTTAAATTAGGTATAATTCATAAATATAGGTTTAAAAATAAAAATAACTCAACTACAAATTAAAACTGA